AATCATCATCTTTACCTACATTTAGTGCACTTATAATTAGATTCACTTGAGTCTGAAGATTGTGTAACACAGACTACCCCTAGCAACCACAATTGAATCTTTAGTAAGTTTCTATTTTCTACCACCAAAGGAGTTATAATAACCATCTAATCCAATGCATGATCAGAAATCAAATTCAGAAAAAAAATCTTGCACATGTCGCACGTTTTTTAGAGTCAATGTGAAACCAACATCTGTCTGCACACAAATATCACCAACATCCACAATATATGTATAACTAGTATTACCAATCTTCACTTTACCAAAATTCTCTACTTTGTACACAGTAAAGACATCTCTCTTTGGTGTTGCATGATAGGATGCAGCAAAATCAATAACCCACTCAGTATCAGAATCAGTGACATGACTATGATCCTCAATAAATAAAAGTACAAACAGTTCTTCACCATCTTATCTAATGCTTCAATAGTGTTCTGATCATCTACTTTTTTCTTTCACTATTATGTTCCTTTTGCATAACCCTATAGTTTCTTTTTATATGCCCCTCTTTGTCGCAGTGATAACAACTGAATTTTCCTTTATTGTCTCCTTTAGGATCTATACTTTTACTTCTACCCCTGTTCTTCATGACAAGGACCTATGAGGTATTAATACCCATATTTTTTCTTCTCGTATCTTCATTGTATAGACTATCTATTACCATAGACAAAGACAAAATACTACTTAAAGTAAAATTACTAAGAGACACCACTAAGATCTCTCAACTATCTAGCAAGGAACTCAAGAGTAATAATGCTTGCAATTCATCATCTAGAGTTATTTTCATTATATTCAACTCATTTACTAACTCTTGAAATTTACTCAAGTGTTTTACAATTAATTGTCCACCTTTCAGCTTTATATTGACAAACTTTCTAATGACAAAAGTTTTATTCCGAGCATTTTTCTTCTTATACATATTTTTCAATTTATTTCACAAAACCTGTGTATTACTTATTTGTTTATGTAATGATATACACTATTATTGACCCATTGTTGGATAGTTCCTATAGTTTTTCTATGTATTTTTTCCCAATCATCATTTGATTTTCCCATTGGCTTAACAGTTCTTAACTTAATATAATCATATAAATCCTTAGAATAAAGAAGCTCTTTCATGCTTAACTTCAAAATTGACTACTATGAAAAAGACAATTTTATCATTATATCAGCAAATTCCTCTATCCTAATTCAAACAATTAATCTGAGGCCACAAATCAACCAAGAAATCAATCAACCTTTCTCTTATACCACTTGTTAGGTTTTTTAAATATTCTAATCTTACTTATGTAAATTAAGGCAATCACCAAAATTAATCCACAAATTCCAATTTATAATTCTAAACCAATCAATTTGTAAATTAATACCAATGAAAATAAAGTATCAATCACAAAAATAATGAGTCACATGATTTACGTGGAAAATCCTCTAGTATAGAGGAGAAAACGACGGGTCGAATTTTGAGTCAAGTCCACTATCAAAGTAATCAAGTACAATATTTTGGAGAAAATATATAAATTCCTCCCTAACCAAACTCAATTCCTCTTGAATGGTCACAACAAGAAATTAGACAATAATCCTCCAAAAATTGATTAAAAAATACCAAAGAAAATTACCAAACTTTTGGCATATTTTTCCCTATATCGATTTTTGTGCATGTAACCAAACAAGCCCTTTATTTTTTGCTTTCCTTGGTGCCCATACGTAGAGATGAACCAAATTTAAACCTGTTTTGCTTTTCTTTTCCTTTTTCTGAAAATAAAGCCTTTCTCCCCTTCTTGGTCTGCATGCGTGAGAGAGAGAGAGAGGATTAATTTTTAATGTTGTGTTTTTTTTCGATTTCTGTAAGAGGAAAAATTGAATGTCACTTTTTCTTTCCAATTTCTACATATATATATATACACACACACATACATGGGAGAGTGAAAACCGTTTCCCCCAAATATTGCAGCCTTCCCTTTTTTTTTCTCTTTCTTTATTAATTTCCACGTGGGATGGACAAAACCCAACGTTATTGCCTTTTATTTTTCTTTATGTTTCTATTCGACATTGTATGCCATGACTATTCTTTGTTTTATCTTCTATGTGACTTTTCTTAGGTACGTGCCATGAGAGATGCATCTCCTTCATATCTATGTAATGAGTTTTAGTAGATCTTTAATTTATTTCTTACCTTTAAAAAAAAAACGTAAATCTCCATGTCTACGTGATATTGTGTACCTAAATATGTACATGATATTATTGATATTTTACTTTTATATGAACTTATTCATAAAATAGTAAAGTAATATATTATTTATATTTGAATATAAAAATATATTAATTCATTAACATTCTTTTTATCTTGTTGGATTTTTTATTTATTTGGTGTAAATTGCACTAGATACAATAAATGATTGTTGCTTATGAGTGTGCTTCAGTAATTATTTTGGAGAGTGTATTAAAATAATAATAATTCCACTATTATTGAAGAGGACAACTTCATGACTTCACATATGGAACTCATTTCTGCATTATTGAAATATGTAATCTCCACATTCTTGAAAATTATGCATCTAATCTATTGATGCTCGTCCCTCAGCACCTCAAACTAATTTTAATTGGTGTGTTTTAGGAATCATCTCTAGTGAGACACTAATTAAAATTTTCTTAAAATATCTTGTATTTTGAAATTGTTTATATATAAAACTTCCATTTGAAAATATATATTTTTAAAAAAAAATTTATCAAATAACCTTTTTTAAAAAGAGTGAAAATTTGTTTTCTAAGAAAAACAAACTTTTTAAAGGGATTCATGAGTGAAAAATAAAAATATAAGCTATCAAGATTGAGTTATATAATTTACATAGAAGGTAAGTAAATTAAAAAATTACACTTGGCCTTCAATTTATTTCTCTTCTTATTGATGATCTTATAGTCTTTCATAATTTATTTTACTTTTTTGAGTTACAACATGTTTGAAAACTTAAAAACTCAATTGATATCATTAATACAAAAATAAGTTTATGTCATTCATGAAAATGAATCATGTTAGTTCAATAGTTCTCTCTTTTTCGTGGATGACGAAACTTAATTTTCAAAGCACATATATATAATACGTAAAGGAGCATTAAAGATAAATTGAAAGATTCTCCCCTTACTATGTGCTCCCTATTCTTTTAGTCTTAAAGAACAAGTAAAAACTAAGAATTTTTGTCCTATATTCAACAAAATATCTCAAAAAGCTCACGAAAACTACTCACTAGAACTTTCCTTATTTAACCAAGGATATGAGAATAGTTTTTCTAGTGAAAGGGAATAAGATTCATTCATTACATAGAATTTTTTTCAAAGATTTTTCTCTCCTAAGGAATCATTACTACTATGGATTGATCCCCTCTTTTTCTTCCCATTAATCAAAAAGGTATATCAGATTAAAACGGAATCGTTTTTCCTTTTTGATGTCTCAATGATAAATAAATAAGATAAAAAAAAATAAACAAAAATTTCTTAGTCAAAAGGGGTGTTATCAAAATCATTACCTATCTTTAAAGATATTAAGTAAGTTCAATAGATTGAAATATCAACAATTGTCAAAGATATTCCATAAACATATCACATTGAAGTATCACCAATATTTAAAGATATTTAATAAGTTTATCACATTGAAATATCATCAATTTTCAATGATATCCCATAGACATCTCACTTGGATGTGTAGATTTATATGAAGTATAATGACCAAATATACTCATTTTTCTTTCTGCATAACGAATATCAATCATCATTTGAGAAATATATATCAATTTAGTTAACTCATTATTTACCAACAACTATTTACATTAAGAAATATTAATCAATTAATACAAATATTTTTATTCGTCCATTTCATATATATGTTATCTATAAACATATCATCTTTTTAAGTTCATAATTGTCAAATACCAAATATCAAATATTAGACATTCTTCCTAGTTGTCTATCACACATATTATCATAATTATTTTCGATTTGTATTATTAAAAATATAATAATCAAGAATCTTTATAAATTATTAGTTATATTCCTCAACTTTCTTGAATTTAAAAATGATAACCAAGTGTAAGAAAGTTAACAAGAAAGTACATCGAGAATCTTATAAAGGAATCAAAATTCATTTTTCACCAACTCAAACAAGATTCTTAAAAGTAAGAATTCAAAAAAAAATATTTTTATATGATTTATATTCCAAAATATCATTATTTTTTCAAAAATATCATTTCAGCTTTTATTTATTAAGTGCATCAAATATAATATAAGTGATTAGAATATCTTATGTGATTCGCAGAATCACACTTTCAACCTATTATGTGATGTGGTTTAAATGGTTACATTTCTCAATACATCACATGTCTTGACGTGATAAGAGAATTTTCATCATATAACTTGATGTAATTCAGAGGATCACATATCTTAATACATCAAAAACATTTCAACACATATACTAATATGATTGAAAAAATCTCTTCTCTCAACAATTAAAATTTCATCTATATTGATCTTAATGAATAATATGTTATCTACTTTTTCTCTTGTGAATCCCTTTGTTAAGAAGAATTTACTAAGATGGTAACAAAGCTCAGGGACTGCTTTAAACTATTTAAGGTTTCAATGAGTTATAGACATGATTAGAAAGACATCGATAGAGACCAAGGTGGCACAAATCATCATATGCCACATAGAAACTCATAGAAACATAAAAGCTAATGATCACATGAGGGATCATGGCTACATACACTTAAGGGTTCATGGCCACAAAGAAAATCATGGTTATGTGTGACGTCCCGATGCCAAATAAGGGAACCAACGTGCAACAGAGCAGACATAATAAAAATATTTACATTGTAGTAGAATTGTACATCCATATAAAGTTTATAAAAGACTATATACTGAGGCCCAATTAGCTATCTACATTTCAAAATACAAAATAAGAAATAACTTAGTTACAAAATACTAGCCACAAGTCTAAAATAAAATACAGAGTCTGTTCCAAATTACACTTCCCGAAAGGAATCTAAACATGGCTCTCCAGTACTTTCCTCTAAATCTACATTGGGGGGGAAGGGGGGGGGGGAGGGGTTAAATTTAGGTTAGTTCTAATACTCAGTAAGATAGAATGAAATAACACAATACATGTATGTTTCAAAACCTTCATTGATGCATACTTTAAAAATAGGATCTCTCAATTTAATTAACAAATAAAATCAAATGTCATAGTCAAATCTCATAACCAATATTCATATTCAACTCAAATGTTCATCTCATATAAATTGTTATGAGCACGTTCAATACTGTACTCGATGGGTTTACACAACTCATGCACCCAGAACCAAACTCATTTTCTGGCACAGTTTTAATTACCAGTTATTATCTTAATTAAAATTACACTAATTATAAAGCTATGCGCACAACCGCCTATACCTATTTTCAAAAAGGGCAAACAGGATACCAACTAGTTATGGGTGAATATGCAAATATTTACAAACATACAATCATAGATAACAAATACAAATTTAATTCTCTCATGTCTCTCCATGTCGCCATCATTCATGCTCTTGGGCCCCAGAACATGAACTACATGTCCCATTAAGGAACCAAAACTAGTACCCATAACATAGTGCCTCCTAAATAAATAAGCAAACTAAATACTCTTTGAAAGAAATACAGTGTGTCAAATTTAAACCAGGTGTAGATTTAAATTTTTTACTTTTATTTTATTTGCTTAAATTCTTAGACTTTATTATCTTTCTCTGAATTCATAAATTTTATTATAAGTTTAGAAAATTAAAATCTTAATTCTTCTGAATATTTTAATTTATTTTATGACTTGTGAATTTTCTTATTTTATATTTAAATCCTGATATTACTAAGAGAATTTAACTATTTATTAAGTATAGTTTTTATCCTTACTAATTAGCCCATTTTATCTCAAATAATTTCCATAATCCCAAATTTTAAAAATTTCCTTTTTCTTTTTACTTTGCCCGTGTCTAAGGGTAATTTCCAAACTGTTATCGGTGTCCATCAATGTCCCACGCATGCTCGCAAGCTGCAGGATAGCACACGCCCTGCAGCAACAGCACCTTGGTCCCGCATGCTTGTGACAGAACCATTCGGTTCAAATTCCTTGAAAATTATTTTCTACTTTCTTTGTTTTCTAAGCATCAATCACCAACACCCATTCACTCTTTTCATTCATGCATCAAAAATATCATCCTAATTTGTAAAAATCACATTTCATGAGACACACACACATTAGCTTAACATATGCAACATCACCAAATTAATTTAAGCAGTTTAATCGTCAAATGTATCTAAATATCTCAAATCATGCATCAACAAGATTTCTACCCATCTTACCCATTAATCGCACGAGACGGGAAGCTACATCGCACAAAGAATATGCTAAAAATTCAAGAATTCTTCTTTGAAACTCACAATAGTTGTGCTTGCAGAGCAGAAAGATGATTTTGAGTTGAAAAGTTGTTTTAGTTTTGGAAATAAAATCCTAACACTCCTAACACATTATCTTCATGATTGACTATGAATTTTTGAAAGGAAACACAAAACAGAAGTGAAATTGGATGAAGAACAGATGCTTATCTTAATAGAGGTGTCGTTCAGGTGCAGCAGCAACGATTTTGGGTTTTGGAGCTTCCTGCTACAATTTGAGAGCTGGATTTTTGTGTAGAAGTGATCGTAAAACATTAAAGAGATAAATAACACAATTCAGAAGAAGAAGAAGAAATAACTTACCTCGGCGAGAAGAAGTATCCCCCCTCTGTTACGCACACAAAACGTATACTCTATTCTGGTGTGTCATTCTCTCTCTCTCTCTCTTTATTGTTTTTTGCTCTCAACCTCCCCGCTCACTCACTTGTTTAACTGGAATTTTGGGTTTAAAGAAGATGAAGACAAAATTGTGAAGAGAAGGAAGCTTTTAACTGAATTTGGCCTATCATCTGACTGTCCAAACACATGTGCGACATCATAGCCGTTGGTGCTTTCGGTGGCCGACCAAGGCTGGCACGAAAGGCCGAATTTTTTTCGACACCTGGTTAGTCCTCACAACAACCCCCCATGTGGCTCGGTTATGGCCACAATTGTAGTGTTAGTAGGTGTTTGGTTTATATTTATATTATGCATATATAATTATATACATATACACACATAAATACATCTATATATTTATTCCTATGTTTATATATTTATAAATATATATTTATTCATTTATGTATTCTGCATATGTTTACTTATACATACCTACATCTATAAAAACTAAATGAATTTATACATGTGTTTATTTATTCGTACCCACATCTATAAAAATTTACTTCAGAATATTTCTTTTATTAAAATTTTTATAGGTTCAATTTTTTTTCGCATCCAAAAAATTTTAATTAAAATTTTAATTTATTTTAATTTCTCTTTATTTAAATTAAAGAATATATTTACCAGTAAACAAATTATATAATTAAAAAATTTTATTAAATAAAGGTATACGATAGCACATACCTGCCTACTACACTATGTGAGCTTAAAAGGTCTCGACCATATTAAGGGAGAGCAAGGAACATCTTGATAGTGCCTAAAAATTACATTATTATCACACACTTTTGGGTTGTTAAATTTCATTGTATGCTATCTAATCCGAACTAGTTTTTATGTTTTATCACAGGACATGATATAAGGACGAAACGAGAAAAAATAATATAAAAAGAGAAAGAGTTCGTGAAAAGTGTAATCAATTAAAAAACAAGCCTTGTACAAGGCTTGGGTCCAACAGACAGAAAACTTAGCTTTGGACAATAGTAAGAGTCACGCACAATAACAGATTTAAATTGAAACTTGAGTTTTTGAAATATGAAAAAGATATCATTCCAGCAAAGATTTGGGACTGAAAATCGAGAAAAAAATATTTTCAGAACGCTTAGATAAGCCAAAAATTAAGGAAAATGATCCTAATCAACACAAGGAAAAACCTTAGCCCCTTTCTATAAAAATAGTGGTGGCCAAGCATGTTGATCATCATTATTCTTCCCGACGCCGCATAAAACTTCAACGGCAAATTCTACACCCTCTTTTCGACTCCTTCCTTCTCTTTAATCATAAAAAAAGACTCTTTTGTATTGAAATCCACCATGAGTGGCTAGTTTATTTCTTTTTCCTATTTGTTAGATCTAACAAACTCCAATAATTTATTTGTGATATCTAATCAAATTAATTTGAGTTTTATTTCAAATATGATATTTATTTACATCCTGCACCTTTATATATTTGTTGTTTTGAATTTATTTGAACAAGGCACGTCATACGAGAAGAGAAATCGCAAGTAGCTAGCCGAACTCCTCAAATCCGTAATTGTTAGAGTGATTCTGGCATCTATTAATGATCAATACTGCACTGAGGAGGTAAGTCATCTAGCTGACCAGTTCACGCGAATAAATCCGGTAACTTGAATCAGGTCCTTCTAGCTCTCAAGGCCTTTAATAAGTTAAATTCTGTGGACATCCTCGGGAACAACAACCAGCTACTCCAAAATAAGTTATATCTCTTGAAGAAATTGTTAAATTACTTGTTAATAACACTAAACAATTTCAACAGTAGATAAGAGAAAACATTCAGAATTTTGAGACGTAAGTGAGCCAATTAGTAGCATCTAGCAAAGTACCTTCTCAAACTGAGGTCAATCCAAGGCAAAATATATGTGCTATCACATTGAGAAGTGGTAAGGAACTACTGGAAACTTTCAGCCTTGGGCAAGGCTTACCGAAAAGAACAGAACTAAAAGTCGTAGTTGATGGCAAGACACATAAAATAAACCCAAATTCTGATTAGCTAGCACAATTTAAAATCCCTCCATTTCTACAAATATTCGCACAATTAAGGAAGGAAAAAGAAGAGAAAGAGATCCTAGAAACTTTATGCAAGGATAAGGTAAACATTCTTTTACTCAATGCAATTAAATAAGTATGTCGATATGTCAAGTTTTTAAAGGAGCTGTGCACCAACAAGAAAATGTTGAATTGCAATGAAAAGGTAAGTGTGGGGGGGGGGGGAGAATGTTTAAGCTATATTCATAGGAAACTACCCCTCAAATGCAAGGACAAAGATGTGTTTCTTATTTCTTGTAAGATAGGCACTTTGGGCATAAAGAAAGCCATGTGTGATTTA